CCCACCCTCCCTCCCTCCCTCCCTCCCACATCCCTGGGAAGATCTGTCGGGTCTAGCTTCTTAAGTTTTTTCTTTTTATTAAAGAGTTCACTCTGTCACAGGGAAATATTGGGTGCATATTTAAAACAGGGGCAGGGCTAGCCCCCAGTCTTCCTTCATGAAGGGGCAAATAGTGTCAGTATTTAAGGTAATAGAGAAAGAAGAGTGTACATTGGACATGGGAGGTGAGGAACACACTGGAGTACAGAGGAGCAATCTTGGATTCAGCGGATCAGGACTGGGCCAGGCTTCCCAGTGCAGAGGACAGCTCTCCTGCTTCTATAGAAGTTTTGTGGCTTGGAAAGAAATTCCCAAGCTCTGAGATGCTGTCAATGTTTTACTTAGGCTGCTCCTGCCAAGGAGATCAGGCTTCCCTTCACCACCTCCCCCCACTACATCAGAAGAATGCTTTGCTTATAAATAGGAGAAAATTAAACTACTTGTGTGACCACCATTCTAGCGTTTCGATCTCAGTATTGGCTAACACACTACCTAGCACTCTCCAGAACTAAAAGCATGAGTTTCAGCAGTGTAAGCTGGAGAGAGCTGTATGGATTCTCACTCCTTAGGGATTTAGGTACAAGAGTTACGTGTAACTCTCATTTCCTAATGTGTTGTTCGGGCTTTGTCTGAGGGACTGTGGCCCTAAGGAAAGCTAAGAGTTTGTCATAGCAATCGTGGAACATATAGAAATCACAAACCTGAATAAACAACGTGAAAATTTGCAAATGCCTAAAATTTAAGTTCATTTTTCATTTCCTCTAGAGAACACACACACTGTGACATGCTGATATCAAATCAAATCAGTCGGTCTCTCCATGAGGTTATCGCTTTGCTGTTTTAAATATGAAGCAAGCATGAATATGTAGCAGTGAAGTTCAGCCAGTGAGATTTGTAGTTCACCAAGGAAAACAGGAGAGTGCTCTTGAGGTAAAAAGGAGGCACAAATGATTATAGCAAGTGTGAATAAAGTAGGAAGTGCAAATGCCAAGTAGAGGAGTGTGAAGTATCCAATGAAGATATTCCATGTTAGTGGTAGCTTGATGTTTTATACAGTGGGTAATGTGGATTTTAAGCAGAAAGCATGCTGTGGCAGCCTTTTTAAGAGGTCATAAATAGTAGATTCAAGTGGTCAAATCTGCAGTACGAAAGACAAGTACAGAAAACGATCAGTGGGCTATCATCTGTGAAGACAGAAGAAAAAATGCATCATAGAACAGAAGATTACTAACTTATATAGACTTCTGGCAGCGTTAATGTTCCACTTCATGGCCTCAAGGTCCTTACTATTAAAAGCTCTTTGCAAAGCTCTTCAAAACAAAAAATATTGATGTCATACCTTGTTCAGATCAACTGACGTAAAATATGCTTACCAAAGGTTTTTGCAAGTCATGTAAATGATCTGAAAGAAGAGTTGAAAGTTTGTCTTGGAATTAGTGTTGGTGCAGATGAGACGACAGATGCTGCAGACCACTTGATGCTAAATATTGTAGCAGTGCCATATTGTTCTTTTGCAGATGCTTGACATCCTCTGTGCGGCACGTGGCAGATCAGGAAGAAGACGGGCAGCACAGTGGCATATTGGGCAGAAAGCAGAGCATCAGTTCAGGCAGTGAAACTTGGGAAGGGTGCAGGACTCATTTGTAGCATGCCTTCCGAGAAATGTTGGCCCCTACTGCTCTAGGCAAAGGGAAAAGTGTCTGCAATTCCACCTTCACCAGGAACAGCGCTTTTTAAGACATCTGTTTTTATGCCAATGGAATTTTTTTAAAGCAGTGTGTATAATGCTAGCTGTAGTTCAGCAGTTGAAAATGTGGTCTGTTTTTGTGGATTGTCAGAAATTATCAGTCATGGAAACATTTGCTCTAAGATAATGTCAAAAAAGCAAAAATTGGGAGTGCCCAAAGTGGTAAATGATTGGGCCAGCTTTGCTAGCTGGACTCATTCTGAAGTCAAACAGCTGAATGCTTGTTATTCAAGAAAACCTTTTCTGAAAGCAGTCATCAAACTGAAGTCTACATGGAAGGTGCCTTAGAGTTTTTATTAGCCTGCTGCCAAATTTTTTAGGGAGTGCTGCATTTCTAATCTCAAACAAACAAACATCTCAAACTTGTGTTAATAAAGGCTTTTAATGGAGTTCCAGTGTTTGAAGATGATGCATTGGAAAAAATCCAGTTTGGTGCCTGCTCTAGTTCAGTTTCTAATATAAAGTGCTTCAACATTGTTGACTTCTAGTTTGGCTTAGAGTTTTCTTTCCAACAGTAGTTGTTTCTTTGAGAAGTTCATCGCTGTCCAGTAACACTACTGCCCAAGAGAGGCACAAAAGCAAGGATGATAACCTCGGTATATGCAGCATGCTTCAGAATCAAGGAAAATGAATTGCAAATACTAGCCACCTTTTCCTGTTAGTTTAATTCATTTAACAGCTAAACTTTTCAGTAGTCAGTGGCTTGAATGGTCCATCTTAGTATTGCTGGTGTTAAAAAGCAACACTTTATTAGCTCTTATGGATGATGGTGCTATGACAACTGCAAAAATCATTTTCCTTTTTGTAAACATTGGAATGTTTTTATTCCCTGGACATCTGCTGTGGAATTTACCAAAAAATACTGCAACAAAACTAACTTTATTGAGGAATCCTTTGATCTGTCGGGACTATAGGATCTTTCAGGATCAGGAAAGGTTGTGTAGACTTTACGAGCTCTGGAGGCCTGCTGTGGCAAAAGTACAAAGAGCCTCCTAATGATCTCCACTCCTGTATCCCATGTTCCGTTATTCTGTAACACCTGGTGTTTTTCATCTTCCATAGAGGAAGCGTGGCTTTAGTACTTTTGGAAGCAATAGTAGATGGTAGGCAAGTTTTCAAGTGTTACCCCCTTTTCCATCTGAAAAAGCTGTAAAAAAGTGGTGGCTATCTTGACGTCAGCTTGGGTCTTTAGTCACTTTGGCTGCTTACAGATGTAAAAAAACCCCCCCAAAATGGCGCTTTACTTTAAACTCAGCATGCCCCTGCGCCCAGCCCAGCACATGCCCAGAATAGGCATCACGTTAGTTGGATCCTGCTTGCCCAACAGCTATATAGATTGGGTGCTTTAGCAGGGCTTTTTTGGTACTTTAATAGCTGATTGAATTGGCTTTAGATGAGAGCCAGAAAGCCCCACTGAAATGCCCGATCTATACAGATGCTGCAGAGCAAGGTCGAAACATGCTGCTTCTTCCAGTAAAGTGCTTTGGGGGGGGTCCCCACATCTGTCATCAGCCTTTATTAGTTACAAGATGTGAGGTATCTACCCTTGAATTAAGTTTAGATGCATCAATAACTAATATCAGCGTTATAGACATTCTTATCAACTCTATCATATTTGCTTTGCAGTTGTAAACTGATTTGATTCCATTCAGTGTTAAGTAAGCTAGTCTTGTTAATCGTTTATTTCTGAATGTTTCTTCCTGCAAGTAAGTGCTTTTATTAATCTGAGAATAAAGAATTAAAATTTTAATGTGCGTTTTCATGACAACAAAAGTAAGATGCTTAAAAATCTGAATACAGTGACTTTTTCTTAAGTGTCCTTTAAAAAATTCAAACATTTAGATTTATAATTCCTATTATTTATCTACAAATATCATCAGGAGATAATAGAAATGGAAGATTACAAATGTCATACTAAAGATAAAATAGTAGCACAATCTTAACTGTGATGCAATAATGCTTATGGAGCTGTAAATAATTAAATGTTAGCTTTACTTTACCACGAGTACTTCCATTTGAATTTACATAACATTTCTGATAAAAGCCACTTTTGGGAAGATCTGTGGACCTGGCCGTGAAGGAGGATAGTAACGTTTATTGGTTGAAATTTCCTCTTTCCTATGTGCCAGATCCATAGATCTAATCCACGCTTACTTGAATTTAAGCATAATCTTAGCAAAATGGGCCTGATTTTTTTTCCTCTCACAAGATTTACAAATTACTCTGGATTTACAATAAAATGTGATTAAAAACAGGGCTTAATAACTCTGAAAGATGGATCTGGTGCTCTGCCACAATTAATTGGTGATCCACAGAGATCTTAAGTTAGTTTGATCATTCAAGTTAAAGTTAAAATAAGTCAGTTCACATCAGCTTGGGAAATAGTTTCACTTGTGGGCTCTTCAGGGGCAAAATCTAGTGCCCCAGAAGATCACTGACAGGTCTGGTTTCTCCAAGCAGCAGCCCCCTGATTGAAGAACCATAGTAGGATCTGTGGACCTGGCTTCTAGAAGAAAGGAGATTTTAAGGTAACATTTTTTTCTATTTAAAGTGTGGTCCTACTCTGAAAAGTGACTGAAAAAATGGCACTGTGGGTTTCCACATTTATAGTCTCTCTATAACTTTCAGACCAAATTTACTCGTTGTACACTTGAACAGTCTTCCCTAGCTGCCAGAATCACAAACTTGATTTGGAATAAGAATGTCACAATGAGTTCTGTCCTGCTTGCTCATCATCACCAGTATTAATGTTTCTGCAAGGTTAATCCTGCTGTTAATTGTATGTGTGCAATACCATTATCATCAAGTACAGCTGAGAATAGAGTTTGGCCTTTGTTTGGATTTACTTAACTGTTATAAAGATGTGTGAGCTAGACTAGAATCCAGGTAACTTTTCCATAGCTGTATTGGGTCTCAAGGCTAACAAGAGTAAAAAGTAGTTAAAATCTTTACTTTTTTCACTAAAGTGATAATCCAGAATATATACATGCAGTAGATCTGATAAGAAGGTGCTGTTTACTGCAGTCAATTTTCAAAGTAGAACTTCACTTTAAAAGAATGCGTTAATTAAATGTCTTCATGTCTGAGAGCTTATAATGTAAATTCCTTGGCTTTTAACTCCATAAAACTTACATAACTTAGCATTTCTCCAAAGGTAGCAATGTTTAATTGATTAATTTGCAGAGTAAATGTGACCTAAGGCTTTTAAAGGCTGATTTATTCTGTTCTGGGTTAGAACTAAATATTCATCAGAGAGTCAATTATAGGTTGTTAGTTTCAAATAATTTTAATTTAACTAGTATTTTTTCCCTAGGGATTCTACAAATGAAACTACTGCGCATTCAGATGCTGGCAGTGAGCTTGAAGAAACAGAAGTCAAAGGAAAAAGAAAAAGGGGCCGTCCTGGCAGGCCTCCAGTATGTGTTATTTAGTTTTGTTTTGTTTTGTTTTGTTTTGTTGTGCATCTCTTTAAAATTGATTGCAGACTATTCTTTTGTCTGATCATCTTAGTGATAATAGTGAACATAAATAGGTTTACAATGAGCATATGTCAAACTTCATGAAGGCTTGTAGTACATAATACATGTATCAGACCAATATACAAGAATTGCTTGCTGAAGTATTAGAAATAATATCTAATTGAAAAGATAAAATGGTAATAATACCCATTAATGTTGTATCCTTTGCTATTTGTATTCACTCATTTTAAAGTATTCCACTATTTTTTTATATTACAGTATTCTTCTAGGCAAGGGAGCAGGCTTATTAACCCTAACAACTTTCTCCTTTTAAAAGTTTTAATGGAGAGTTTATTAAAGAGTTGTGACACAACACTCGAGCCATCTTTTAGTGGTTGCTAATTTCTTCATGTAATCTGGAGATTATCCTCATAGTTTTAAAATAATGTTGAATTCCTCCATCAGTAGAGGTGTTAATGTAAGTTTAAGGAAATGGGATATCTTCTGTCTTTTGCATATGGATAAAGAGCTTTGCTTTTTTAATATGATAGCCTCAGGTTTTGATATCTGCGGTTATAGGATTTACTAAGAGGAGATTATTTATTAAGTGCCTTTGTACAATGCCATTTCATGAATGGAAATAATAGAGGCAACTCTCAGAAATTCTACAGTATTTAGTTAAAAAGCTTTTTTTTTATGTTTATTTAAAAAAACCAAAAAAGTACCCTGTTTATGGGTATATCTATAGGCAGGCACATGCAATTGTAGAGGCGGTATTTTATCAAGGGGCATGTTTTTGGTAGTTCTCCAGAGTTAGCACGTGCATTACTGTTACCATGGCTGAATTCCATAAAGTGGAATAAGGTCATTATGGGGGAGAATTTTACATTAGTTTTTATAGGCATTCATAAGTTTGGTTAGTTCTCATTTTCTCTCCCAGATCAGCTTAGCTAGTGAACCTTCATGGAACATGTCATATTGGTTATTTCTTTAAAATTTTGAGCTAATGTAAGAACGTTATTTACTGCTGTGAAGTCCTTTATGCACATTTTTTTTCTTTCTTTGAGAATCATTTAAGATATGTTTGACTGGGATTTAAAAAAAATCGACCAACTAATATATTTTTGAACAGTGGTAAGAATTTTCTGCAATTTTAGGAATAAATTTAAGGTAAATATTTAACTCTATAAATCATAATCGAAAATACATATAAACAATTCGGCCAGTTTAAAGTTACTTATGGAATCTTAAATTTTGAATTTCCGGACACTAGTACCAATGTCAAATTTTACAGGGCAGGGGCTTTAGGTGATGGCTACTGTGGATAAAATTGCTAAATGTTTCCATAGTCATATTTTCCAAAGCCTTCCTTCAGTTGGGGCTGATCTTCATGCTAGGTGTCAGTATGAAGGCTAATTATTTTTAATTCCAGTTTGAGTAGAATTCCTTCATTGTTTAAAGTCTGTGAAGGTATAGAAGGCTTTCAGAGTTATTTTATTTTATTTTATGCTGTTTTTTCCTGAGCGTTTTATTTCAGGACAGTAGTGCTGACTGTCTCAATATTCATTCATGACTTTTCCACAGATGAGCTTCATATGCAAACCATACTTGCTGTTTTGGAATGCTCGGTTTGAGAAGGATAGTTGCAACAGCATGACAGCCAACCCAAGTCCCTATGGAGCAGGAAAATAAAATAATTTTTTTCTGTAAAATGTTAGTCCTAAATGTACTGTTTATGTCAATATGTAATCTTGTAGTTAACAGTATGTTCTTTAGGAGGTGTCCTACTGATCTGATGTTCAGAGCAACTTTTTCAGAATCTATAATGAGGGAATTTATATTGCTCTGCTCATGGATCCTGGGTACTCTGTCTTGCATCCAGAAATTACTTAGTAGAGATACTTTCTTCCCTTCTTTCTGCCATGTAAGCTTTCTGTTTCCTCTTACTATCAGGCTTATATCACTTTTCATTCTGCACTTTTCACGGCTGTCTCTGAAAGTCTTTTTGCTGCAGGACTTTTTTCTTCTTCCCATAATTAAAAGGCAACAACAAAACAAAAAGAAAATCCCATCTCTTCAGAAAGTGTTTAAAGAAAAAACAAGAACAACCGGTCAGAAATCTCTGTACCAGAGAATTTTTTCTTCCGGTGCTTCAAGCTCTTCAGAGGGCTGCTCTCTACAGCAGTCTTCCTAGTTGATGAAGCTCGCAAGGCAGAAAAGACAATTTTGAACACAAAGCCAGTTTGCTTGCCCACTAAGTTGTGAGAGTTGCTTTACAACTTAATGCCAGAAGGAGAAAATGTATTAAGCAATGCCTTTTCATGCATCTCCTCCAAATGCATGGTGTCCCCCCCACCCCTGATAGCCATTTTAAGGGCATTTTCTTTTGATGTCTACCCCCCTGAGTTGTCGATGACATCTGAGATAATAATACTTGAACAACTCTGACTGAGAGGACAATCTAGACAGCTGCTTTCCAAAGGCACCCTCTGAACCAGAAAAAGTCCTGTCTCAAATCGACCGAAGTAAATCTCTGTCTTTCAGAGAGCTCGTTCTGTTTAGTTCTCCACTCCTTTAGGGTTATACCACAAATAAGGGAGTCAGCAGCAAAAAGCAAACAAACCATAGGCCTGATTCATTTTTCTCAGAGAAGACTGCGCACAATCTGTTCATGAAAACAACTAAATTAATGGTTATGCAAATCAGAGGTGTCTGGAAGTCTGTGTTCACTACTGGTCACTGCTATTCAGGAAGTATACTACTGAATTAGGTGGGGTCAGAAAAAAGGTATCAAGAAAGACTGAGGGGAGTATGGAAAGTCCCTGTTCTAGCGAAAGACTGAAAATGTTTGGTTGTTTGCCTTATAAGGAAGACCAATAAGAAGGGATGTGATAAACATAATGAAAGTGGATTGGGACCATGCCCCTGTCCTTGAACAAAGAAACAAGAAATTCAGTAAAACTGAAAGGAGATAAATTCAGAAATGAGTGCAAAGGAATACTTTTTCTTAATTACTGGGCACGTTGAGGCAGTTCAGTATAGCAATTCCCATATTAGTGAACTATGACTAAAGAAGCCAAATAATCTTAATTGATTAAAGTCTCTCATGGGGGAGATTACCTGGATGAGAGAGATGCAATATACCAAGATGGATATCCGGTGAGCATTCATCTTTGTTTATTCAGGCCACGAAAGACTGTCATCTAAATGAAGTGAAAGAAGGAAAGCATTCATCCATCTGTCCCTGTCCCCCACACCAAACCCAAAAGACTTGAAAAAATAACAGACCTAGTATGATCCTAGTATACAGATGACAGTGTCATCATCATAGAAGGAAGAGGTTAACACAGGATCTTTGATCCAATCTTATGAATGATTTTTTTATTCTTCATCCCCCACCAATATTGGTTAGACCTGAAAGGAACGGATTTCAGAACTGTCGCAACATGGTTCTGAATCTCCTCAATGGGACTAAGATATAGTGTGGCCTTTGTGATTATAACCTATGCAACCCTTTTACTACCTGCTTCTCAATTTTACATGAAAGACTGAAAGAAAGGAATTCAAAACTAATAAAATAGCCTTTCATAAATGAATAGATTTTATGACCACAATGAAACTTGCCAGTCTGACCTAATTAATTGCAGATTATTCCTCCCAGTGTTTACTGTGCCAAATCTAAGTATCTGTTGTTGACCTGCTGTACATCTCTTGGAAAGACATTTGATCTACATTTAAAAACTCTCACTTAAAAAATTGCATTGTATTTCCAGTGCTTTTCCAACTTCCATTTTTTTCACTGAATTTTGTTATTTTTTTATTTTGCCAGATTATTATCCTTAAACAATAGGTAACTGTTCTTCATATAAATATTTTGAGACCATAATAATTTGCATTTACTGTTTTTTCAATAAACTAAATATTGAAGTTGTTATGACTCGCATTTTAAGGCATGTATTTCAGAACGTTAATAATTAACTGATTACACATATAGGCCCAAATTCAACTCCCCCTTTAGGTGGCTAAGTGCTAATTACGCATTTATGTGTAGACGTGCAGATTTTAGATTCTTCTCCTGCACTGCAGCTTGCTTTGTTCGTTTGAATATGCCCAGAAGAGATCCTTGAAGGCTGTTTATACTGTGTTGCAATTCCTGTTCTTCCAGGGAGGCTTGTAATTCCTTCTGAGTCTCAGAGAAAAATCATTAGTGGCAACTCTGGAGGGAGGAAGAGACAAGTCAGGAAAGGAGGGCTGCCTTACCTTTTAGCCCGATAGCGTAGTAGTACTTATTCCTAGGACGTAAGATGGGTACCTGAGCTGCTACCCCTATGCTATTTCTACATTTTGTATTAAATAGTCATTGGATTAAATAGTTAAACACCAGTGCAGGCAGGGTCAGAACTCAGAGCACTCTCCTTTTCAGGGCAGTGCTTATCTCAGCTACAGCCAGGCTCCTTCTGTTGCTATCCTCCATTTGCTCCTTTTTGCTTCTCTCCTGGCTGCCCACTGGGCCACCTTCCACTAGCGGGATGGAGGATACCCTTGGCCCTGCCTTAGCCCAGCCTAGAGTTTTGTTGTCAAACCCCCCAGAGTGATGGTGCCTATAACGTAGGTCTCCCACTCCCTGGACAAGTGCCCTAACCATTAGGCCATTGGACAAAAAATATGGAAAGGGTCCATCCTCCTCTTCTCTCTTCCTACCATCCCCCCTCAGAGTTGCCAGTCATGGTTTTTCTCAGGCTAATCTTTTAAGGACTTGGATGGAGTTAAGCATCTTTCAGAGTGGAATAGAATTGCAACAATGTATATATAGCTTTTTGGAGTAGGATCTAAAACATGTATATGGCCCTAAATGCTACTTGTACATCTATTTAGAGAACATAGGATGCTAGGAAAGTAGAACTGGAAGGGACCTTATGAGGTCATCTAGTCCAGCTTGCCTGTACAAGGCAGGATCACCTCTAAATAAACCATCCCATCTAAGTATCTATCTAATGTGCTCTTGAAAACTTCCAGGGATGGAGATTCTGCAGCTTCTCTAGTTAGTCTGTTACACTGTTTAACCAACCTCGTAATCAGAAAGTTCTTCCTAATCTAATCTCTAACCAGAACTTCCCCTGCTGCAGTTTGAGGCCATTTCTCCCTAGTCTTGTCCCATGGAGATAAGTCCATCTCCACCCTCTTTATTTATAATCCCCCTTCAGGTATTTGAAAGCAGTTATCAACTTTCCCCATAATCTTTTCTTCTCCAAACTAAATAATAATAGGTCTTTTAGCCTTTTCTCATAAATCTTGCTTCCCAGGCCTTCCGCTGAGCTCTTTCCAATCTGAATACATCCTTTTTGAAATGTGGACCCCAAACTGGACAAAGCACTGTAGGTGAGGCCTCACCAGTGCTGAATGGAGCTGAAAGATCACTTGCCTTGATTAGCAAGTGATGTGCTTCTGTTGATACAGACCAGTATCTTATTGACTTTTTGCAACAAGAGTTCACCATTGACTCATGCTCGGCTTCTGGTCCCCTGTAAGCCCCAGGCTCTGTTCTACAATACTGCAGCCTAACCAATCAGTCTCCAGTCTGTATTTGTGCATGCAATTATTCCATCCCAAGTGCAGGACTTTGCACTTATCCTTGCTGAATTTCATTTGGTTGATTCTGGAGCATTTCTCCTGTATACCCAGCACATTTTGGATCCTAGCCTTGCCCTTCAGAGTGTCTGCAACTCCATTGAACTTGGTGTCATCTGAAAATCTGCTAATTGTGCACTCTGTTCCAACATCCAAATCATTAATGAAAATGTTAAACAGGACTGGATCCAGAACAGGCCCCTGAGAAACCCTACATGATATCTTCTCCCAGCTAGACATCAAGCCACTGACGACAGCTCATTGAGCACAATGATCCAACCTGTTTTGTCCACCCTACAGTACCTTCATTTGGTCTGTACTTCCTTAGCTTGTTGATCAGAATGTTGAGGCAGGTAGTGTCAGAAGCCTTGTGGAAGTTGAATTATATAACATCCAACACTCCTTTGCCCTCCAGTCTTCCCCCAGTCACATCCAACACTCCTTCCCGCCACCTCCCCATCCACAGAGCCTGACACCGTATCAGAGAAGGAAATCAGATTGGTCAGGCATGACTTGCTCTTGGTGAATCCATGCTTGCTGTACCTGATCACCTTGTTTTTCTCTAGGTACTTCAAAATGAATGTCTTGAGAACTTTCTCCATGTTCTTTCTAAGTATCACAGTCAGGCTGACTGGTTTGTAATTTTTGGATATTTCATTTTCCCATTGTTAAAGATTGACACTATATTTACCCTTTTTCACTCATCCTGGACCTCAGCCAACCTCCACAAGTTTTCAGAGGATAGATAATGGCTCTGAAATTACCCCTGCCAATTCCTTCACTATCCTAGGGTACATGCCATCCAGCCTTGCTGGCTTGAAAGCATCTGGCTTCCTTAAGTAATCCCTAACCTATTCTGCAATTACTGCCTCCTTCTCTATCATTGCAGCCAGCCACACTTATCTTCTAGTAGCTGCCCTATTTGTGAAGACTTGAATTAAAAATGATGTTAAATATTCCAGCCTTCTCTGCATCATCTGTACCTAGATTGTTTTCTGCATTCCTTAAAGGATCTATGCTTTCTTTGATCTTCTCTTATTTTTTACATACTTGTAGAATTCCTTTTTATTGCTTTTTCTGTCCCTTTCCAGCTGCATTTCAAGTTGTGCCTTGACCTTCCTAATATTTGTTGCATATCTTATTGAGTTTCAACTCATGGAAAAGGTTGCTGCCTTGCTAGCCTGGCCTCCTGTTGCACTTCCCATTCTTCTGTTGCACCAGGTTAGCTTGCTCTTGTACCCTTAATATGACCTCCTTAAAGTAAGTCAGCTCTCCTGGATTTCTTTTCCCCTCAGACTTCCCTCCTCCCCCACTCCTGGGATCTTGCCCACCAGTTCCTTTTGTTTGCTAACGTTTGCTTTTCTGAAGTCCAGTGTCTTTGTTCTCTTGTTCTTCTTTCCTTTCTCTCTTTAGGATCTTGAACTCGTATCACTTCATTGTCAGGCACCCAAGTCATCTTTACATTCTCAACCAGTTCGTCCCTGTTTGTGGGCAGCAATTTGAGAAGAGTTTCCCAGCTAGTTGGCCTCTCCACTACCTGTACCAGAAAGTTATCTACAACATGCTTCAAGAATTTATGTGGACTGCCTTTACGTTGCTGCTTCCCTCCCAGCAGATGCATAAATAGACATAGCTACATAAAGGGGGAGTTGGATTTGGGCCTTAAGGCCTGCAGTATGTTTCTTTTTTTGGCCAGAGCTTTCCTCACTCCCTGAAACACATTTCTTTGAACGAGTTTTGGGTACAGATGTTATAGCCCAGGAAACTTCTTCCCTGCAGTGTTTGATTTTTATAAAATGATTCAGTAAATGTCTGGGAAAATCCGCAATGGATTCTCAGACTTAGGGTAGAATACCTAGTCCAGGACACCGACACACACACACTTGGGGCAGCTGCTGCTAAGGAGCACACAGCAGGTGTTATGCTGTTACATGTGCTGTGCACGTCTCACTGCATGAGACTGTGGTGATAAAAGTGAGCTAAATTGCTCCAGGTTTTATCCTGGGTGAAGCAGGGTTAAAGCTGGCTTGGTTTTGGTACACTTCTATTGCTACAGGATCACGCACAGCTTCTACACAGTCCAGAGCAGCAGCAGTCTCCTTCCCCATCCTCATCCCTTCCCTCCCCCCCGCCCCCCTTTTTTTTTATTTGTCCCAAATGTAGGTTTATCCGTGCAAGGGGCTTTGAAACTCATGTGGCCCTGCAGGGCAGATGAGCAGTATGGGGCCAGTCTGTGGGCTGGATCAGGCTCGCAGATCAGCCTTGTGTACCAGATCCAACGCGCAGGACTGGTCCAGTTCAGGTGCTGCATGCAGCAGACATGTGAGCATTAGGTTTCTTCAAGCTAAAGAAAAAAATAAGCTCCTTCCCATTACTCAGTCTTGTTTTTGAATTGGCATATATGGAAAGCTTCCTATATGATGAAAATTACCCTTGTTATTTCCTGAGGTCATCTGGTCCCAGAGGAATCTACCTTTGTGTCCACGTGCATTTCTATGATGAATACTTTAATTCGGGATCAGTATTTCCAGTTCAAGATTATGCTGTTCAGCCTCTAACTTGCTGTTCAGGCTATCCAGAAACTGGTGAAGATCCTAGAGCCAGGCCTTAGATAGTCAGGGGCCAAATCTTTCATCATTTGTTTCACTTTTGTGTAAAAAGTTTGTCTGTGGAATCAGCACAAATCTAGGACAGGTCGAGTTTATTATCAGCTTTCAGCAGAGCTCCTCAGTGCCATATCAAAAATCTAGTCTTCTAAAAATCCAATTAAGATCTTGGGCCTGATTGTACAAACAATTTCTTCATGAAAATCTCAAGATACAGTCCACAATACATCAGTTTTTACATACTGTGCACATCTTGGAGTGGCAGGGTTTTCAGTTAGGTGCATTGTGATGGTCTTTTGTTTAAACGGGCAGACAAGATGGCTGTCTGTCTGTGCCTGGATAATGGCCTCATAGGAAAAGAAAACTTATTTCTCATGCCCTTTAAGGTCAGAGGCCAAACTGTCCCTTCCATAGAGCTGTGGCTTCCTGATTGCATGCCATCTGGCCTCACCATAACTTAAGAGCTCTAATGTATGCCTTTGTAAGGTCACTGATAGATCTTACAGCATTTATTGGAATGAGATGCAGTTGTGCTGAACTCCGTCTTGCCTGTCCCTTTTCTTATTGCTCTCTCTCCCACCCTCTAGGCATCTCTCTGCCACATCCTCTGTCCTCTTGTACCAAAGCAAAGATGGTTAGTGCAGAAGTTGGGTCTCCTACCTGCAGCAGCTCTCCTCTAGATAGGTTTTTCTTTGCATGGGGGGTAGGGGTGGGGGGGTGAGGATTCTGTGCTAGGCATATCTGGCCCGTTGAAGTCTTTTTTTGGAGCATTCAACCATGAAATGTAGATTTAGCAGATAAGAATCTGGCTGGTAGTGCTTCATTAAGCCTGGGTGCCGCCTGCTGGGGGTAATAAACCCTAGTGAATCCTTCTATACAAACGGCATACACCAGTCTATCAAGGCCTAGTTGCACAGTTTCCTGTCTGTTTCAAAGGAAATGGTACCCACAGGAAGACTGTCCATAGAATAAGTCTTCTGAACCTGTGGGCACAGTAGAGGCAAACTCCAGATGACTTTTATTGGAGGTTGGGATTTTAACTACAGATTGCAAAGCAAGAAGGGACCATTAGGGTAATCTGTTGCATTTGTACATATATATTGAGTTACTGATTAATTTTAGTGGTGTGGGAAGAGAACATTAAAGTCTTTCTAATGAGCACCCAAGGCACTATGAACAAGCTGTATTTGGGTAGCAATGAAAGGGAAGAAAGTGTTTAAATGTAATAACCTGAAGTTGGTTCCTTTTAACTTGGTAATACTTGTATCCTGAAGTAGTTGAGGTTCAGTTATTTTATAAATAAGGAACTTCAGTTGTTTTCTAATTACATAGAAGTAAATTTTCTAGTAAGCCAATGACAGCTATTTTTTGCAGCCTAGATCACAGTTTTTAATTTTTTTTACTTTTCTTGCAGTAAGACTCGCATATAAATACATCTGATACAGTGTGTGTGTGTATATATAAATCTAATGCTGATATATATATATATAGTTTACAAGATACTTTAATTCATTCACATCATAATTGCACCAGATTTTCATTCTGATATTCTTTTTGTTCAGTCTGCCAATAAAAAACCTCGAAAAACTCCAGGAGATAAGAGCCGTTCTGAACCTGGCACTAGAGCAGCAGGTCGTGGAAGAGCTAATGGTCATCCTCAACAGAATGGAGAAGGAGACCCTGTCACTTTGTTTGAGGTGGTTAAGCTCGGGAAAAGCGCCATGCAGGTAAAGTAATTCACATATTGTGCATTCATTATTGTTACCGCTTAATTACTGAATATTTTCACACTGCAATAAATAAGTTTCTTATTCTCATAGTGTCTATGAATCTATGCTAGCTAAATTACAATGTTGTTATTAAGATTACATCATCTGATACAGCTTATCAAAAATGAATTTCTGGTATTCCCCCCTCCCCCTCTGTTTTATATGTATTGTACATTGAAATAAGGAGCTCAGTATAAGATATGGTTAAAGCTGAATGTTTCAAAGTACTTCTGGAAGAACTGTAGACTGAGAAGTAGCTTTCTATTCCAATTGATTTCTTTACTATTTTGTCAGTTATTTTCAAGCTATAAACAAATGAATTTTAAAAGAAGGGGATCTACTAACTAATGCAGTTGCTGTTCATAAAGCATATCCAGGATTAACATTTGCAAAGGAGAAAAGATTTGAGATGTTTACCCAGCAAGTGAAGTTGTCAAAAGTGCTTGATCGTATTTACATTGTAAATTCAGTGCCAAACAGTGGTGTCATGCAGCAAATCATGGTGATCTACATGGGTTACTTTTCTAACCAGAAAGTATACCTGAAGTCATTCAGTGGTGTGTGCTAGTAAATACAGCTGTGTTTTTGGTTGTAGCTGTGTTCGTCTAAGGACGTAGGCAAGCAAGGTTCTTTGGTTAGATGTGATATCTTTTGTTAGGCCACCTAAGCAGTTGGAAAAAAATACTTAGCAAGCAGTCACCCTTCTTCAGGTGTAGGGAGTCTATCGTTCCTTGGAGTCTCAGACCAACGGAGACTCCCTATGCCTGAAGAAGGGTTACTGTGCCCAAAAGCTTACTAAGAATTTTTTTCCAACTACTTAGTTGGTCTAATAAAAGATACCACATCTACTCAAAGAACCTTGCCTGCCAATAAATATAGTCACCCGTTGTGATAATTAGCCGAAGTGCAGTGCTGTGTAAATGTAGCTACACTTCCTTTGGTTCAGAAAGTAGCCTGTGTGTAGCAGTGCGGCCTGTTACAGGGTTCAGCTGCCTGACACTAACTGAAGTAGTGTGACAGGACTTAAGTGATTTATGCGATAAAACTGAACTCTCAGGCATGACAGTGCTAAATTGTAAAAAGCACCTAGATGTCTAAGGGTATGTCTGCATTGTCCCGTACCTTTCCCTGGACAAGCCCAAGCATGCTGTTGGGAAATAAGCCTGGCCTGCTTCACGTGTGCTTAGTTAGACTCACAAATTTATGGAGTAGATGACCTGGTACAGTCACAAGTATATCCTTTTGAACCATCCTGAGGCTCTGACTGCAGAAAGCGTGAGTGTGGTGCTGACCCGTTCATGTCCAGCTTTGTTTAGCTCACTGCTCCACAATGTTGTGAGCCAAAGTACACATGAAGCAGGTGCAAGTAGGCTGAGTTTATTTCTTGGTGCCATTTCCTGTCTCACTTCGGACATGGTAAAGATATGCAAGTCGCATTTGCAAGTCACATAATGCAGATAAGGGCCTATGTTTCACTGATTTTTTTTTTCAAAGGGACTTAGTTTCCTAACTGCCTAAACCATTTTTGAAATTTCACCACAAATCATAGACAACAAGGTTTGCAAAGGACCTCAGGAGGTCACATCTAGTCCGACTGCCTGCTCAAAGCAGGATTAGCCCCAACTAGATCATCCCAGCTAAGGCTTTGTCTAGCCAGGTCTTGAAAACCTCCAAGGATGGAGATTCTACCACCTCTCTAAGTAACCTGTTCCAGTGCTTTACCACCCTTCTAATGAGAGAATTTTTCCTAATATCCAGCTTAAGCCTCCCTTAAACCTCCATAAATCCATGAAAAATCTGAGTTGTGCATTAATGATACAGAAGCCAATATGGGAAAAATGTGAATTTGAAAGTATTTCGTATGTTCTGTGAAACTGGGGTTGTGAGAGAGACCCTTGTTATCTAATAGGTGAACACAGAGCAAATATTTTTATAACAGAACTATCGAAAGCTTCTAGGTGCCTTTTCATCATTTTATTTTACTGCTTCAGGTCCACCAACTTTGTTCCCTTGCAACACATTTTCAGAGTTGTTTTGACAGGTTTCCAAGATGATTTTTGCAGGTGTGGGTTTTTTTATGCAACAGAAGACACTGTATGCTGTGCATTGGATATTTATCTGAGAGCTGTTGGTATAAATAGAAGCCAAAGAAAAGGTGTAGGTGGCTGCTTCATTGCTGGAGGTGTTTGATAATTTTTTGTGAGTGTCTGTGAGGAGAACTGAGTTGGTTAGGGTGTAGTCACATTTCTTCTAGTCTTAACAAAACACTTTTCACAAGGTAAAAACACAGGGTTGGGGTGCATATACTTAGGATCCTATTCTTGGAGGAATTAAGGGAAATGTGTATGTTTGCATTAAGAACTGGGCTTCAAGTCAGAATGAGCTGAACTAGGAGAAACAGCATATTTATTGATGGAGTTTGAATTCATTCAGGAAGATGGCTAAGCTTTTTGGAATAGTGATGGCTTACTAGTAAGAAAGTTCACTCTGAGGTCAACGATACAGCAGTGCGTAAGTGTCTTAGGAGCCTAAAGTGCCTTCTGGCAGGGGTAGACAAATAACTTGCACTGAGGTAAATAAAGTTGGGTTTTATGTCATGTCAGCAACTTAATTGAATCTGCATGTACGTGTTCTTATCTGGTGGCAAGTGGAATGATAGCTTGCCCTACCTCATCTCTTCATGAGAGGCAGGTAAGCTAGTACAGGTGAGTTCTCGTGTAACACAGGGTAAGTGTTTGCACATTTTAGTATGTAGTGACTGACATGCTATAAGTCATGCTCTTTGTTTTACCTCATAGTAACTTGTTCTTGTGCCAGCACCTTTAATTACTTGCTTATTTTTGAAAATTTTACCTCTGTCAAATAGAAAAGGACCGTTACTGATATTGGGTTTCAACATACATGCAGTTGAAATGACATTAACACTCCTCAAGTGCTAAGCAGTTCAAGTTACAAGTGCAAACAAAGAGACGAAAGACACCTGCAATAATGATTCAAAGACCAGGGTTAGGCCTGGGCAGACCTTGCATTCTTTCCAGCCGTCTTCCCGCGAAATTGTAGGGATAGTGATGTGATCATCAGCAAGACACAGACCTCTTATTACTGACTTGTTTGTGGAGCTCTTCAGTGTACAACGTGAGCAGTTTGACTGACCAGACAATGCTTCATATTCTTAATTGTCAGTAGATTCTGTTAACTGTCTACATACACAATGTGTTTCTTTCCCCTAGGGCATGCCGTAATTTTACATTCTGTAATAGAAATGCAATAATTTCATTTCATATAGGCTTTGAGATTACTAAGCAACTTTACTACTCTTCTGCTTCATGTGGTTTTATTTTCAAAGCTTCTTCCTCCTGCTGTTTGCCCCTAGGAGATTTCTCTGCTGCTAGATTTTTTTTTGCCTTTCCTTTTGCCAGCTCATGAGTGTCTCCTAATAACTTCATTTCGCACTCATGTCAAGTTTCTACTGTATCTGAATCTGTGATGGGATTCATTTGAGTCTTCTCTTCAGGATAATTTCTTCTTGGTTCTAAGGAAACACCAGTTACAATAGTGTTTGTTTCTACAATGTATGATCTTTGTGTTTTTCTTTGCATACATTTACTTACCCTCCATATCTTATCTCTGTAACTACACACCAGTTTTGCTCATATTGGCTTTCCTGTTATGATTTCAAAGAGTGCTTTGGTGACTGTATCAGGCTAGTATTTGGCTTGCTGGCAGTGTTCAATTTGTTCAGTCACCTTTTCCACTGCTGCTAGCTTCAAAAGCTTCTTTGCCATATGCAACAGTTTGTGTGGGTACTGTGATATGTAGTGATGTTCATACGCTCTGCTAGTAATTTCTTTAGTCCAGCAAGGCTGTCCTCCTTGGCTCTTGGTTATGCTAATATGTAGAGGTGCACTGATACATCGATCCAATATCGGATCAGTATCGACATAAAGAAAACTGGCTGTATTGGATATCAGCCCGATGGGGCTCATAATTTGGCGGATAAATGCCCGAGTTGCTCTGCACAGCTGCAGCGCAGCACTCGGGCAGTGAGGAGCATAGCCGCAGTGTGGAGAGCTGCATCCAGCTGGTAAGTCCAGTGTGGTGGGTGAGGGGGAGATCAACACCCCCCACGGTGAGGAAGGGACCAGGGGCAGGCACTGCCTGGGTGGGTGGTGGAGCTGTGGTTCATGGGGGGTGGGGGAAGAGGCTTCTGCTGCTGCTTGCCACCCAGGAGGGCATGGGGGGTGGGGGGGGGGGG